CACGGATAATTGTCGTTTGGACGTGACAGCCATCAGTTTGTTCAAGAAAGCTGATTACTGAATGATGTCATTTATTCCAGGTCATTCGCCAGGTGGGGTAAGTTTCTCCACACGAAAATCGCACTGCTTGATAGAGGGTATCCCTGACTTTTTTATTCAGGCAGTAATCAAAACCATTCATAAATAAAGCTAGACGATCAGAACCATCTCAGAGCCCCCTTTTCCCCCTCCACTCCCCCTGTCAAATTAAAGCGCCATCTTAAATAATAACGGTTTAATGTTGTAATGTCTTTGTTTCGTGTTGTGTTATGGCTCCATATACACTAGCTCTGCTAGATTGGATACCCCTGGATAAACATGAGTATAAGATGAACAAATTTCGGCAATGTTCCTTCTCACTCAGAATATTTAATGAATCTTTTTAAGGTTTCATTAACATAATGGTTGGCACACCTAGTAATCCCAGCTGAACTGATGCGCCACAACAGTTTGATTGTCTTATCGTGTCCTTCCCATCCTGTTTCATTTCTGGTATCCTCCAAAAGTAAAGTATCTGGTTTAGCGATGAGTTGAAGTAAAGAATGGTTATTGTAGCCCGTAGAAATGAAGATCCCCAGACATGAGGTATTTTACGTGATGTCCATAGCATACCATATAATATGTTGGTCGAAGGTGGAAGATTCCAAGTCAAGGATCAAACAATTTTCTCAAAATAGTCCGAAAACCTCCTTTCTAAAATTGAGTCTTATTGACGGCTTTCCGCTACAAACTGTTTCCTGTTTTGCCCCATACTCTCTTGTAATATTCGCGTTTACGACCATGGCCTGTTCTTTCCATTGCTTTCGTTCTTACTGCGCAGAAATTAGTTGTAAATATTCGTATAAATAGCTTGCATCTAATTTTTTTGATTGCCCTAGCAAAATTTCTTGTTAAGTAAACATTAAAAAGGCTTAACTTTGCCTAAAAGTGCAATAATTTCATTGATGGCGAACATTTTTTAGCAGGGCTGCAGATATTGGGTTATCATGTCTG